TTATATAATATATATATATTTATGTATTAGTATGTATTATGTATTAGTCCCTCGCTACTTCACGGTTCATTTGTCACCGATGTGTTCTATTGCGGCTTTTCAAAATAAGATTGGACATGACAAACAATTGGCTTATTGATGGATGAGCCGCACGATCGGCATGAAATTTTTATTTAAAATAAATTATTTAAAATAATTTAGTAACTGCTGCAAAAAAAGCTTCCTCCTGCACCTTTGTGCAGCCCTTACTGATGCAGGAAAAACTTTCTGCTGCAGCTGTTCAGCTGATCAGATGTTCAGCGTGCAGAGCGGAGAAGTGAACGTGGCCAAGAGCGCTTGTGGCAAATAGCAGAGGAGGAAGGGGGCTGAATCATGACATTCTGTGCTCTTTTAGAGCGTTTAGAAGCATTGTTTAGAATATTGCAATAGTATGGAAAGGGTTTAAAATTCCTTAAAATATACATATATAATAAAATAAAGTACTACTTACTACTTGTACTGCTACTTCGTGGCTTTTCACTTATCGCGGGTCTTGAAGGTACAGATCCCCTGCGATAAATGAGGGACCACTGAATATATATATATATATATATATATATATATATATATATACACTACATTGCCAAAAGTAATTGCTCACCCATCCAAATTATCGGAATCAGGTGTTCCAATCACTTCCATGGCCACAGGTGTATAAGATGGAAGTACCTAGGCATGCAGACTGTTTTTACAAACATTTGTGAAAGATTGGGTCGCTCTCCGGAGCTCATTGAATTCCAGCGTGGAACTGATAGGATGCCACCTGTGCAACAAATCCAGTTGTGAAATTTCCTCGCTCCTAAATATTCCACAGTCAACTGTCAGCTGTATTATAAGGAAATGGAAGTGTTTGGGAATGACAGGAACTCAGCCACAAAGTGGTAGGCCACGTAAACTGACGGAGCAGGGTCAGCTGATGCTGAAGCGCACAATGCAAAGATGTCGCCAACTTTCTGCAGAGTCAATCACTACAGACCTCCAAACTTCATGTGTCCTTCAGATGAATTCAAGAACAGTGCACAGAGCTTCATGGAATGGGTTTCCATGGTCGAGCAGCTGCATCCAAGCTGTACATCGCCAAGTATAATGCAAAGCGTCGGGTGCAGTGGTGTAAAGCACGCCGCCACTGGACTCTAGAACAGTGGAGGTGCGTTCTCTGGAGTGACAAATCCCACTTCTCCATCTGGCAATCTGATGGACGAGTCTGGGTTTGGTGCTTGCCAGGAGAATGGTACTTGTCTGACTGCATTGTGCCAAGTGTAAAGTTTGGTGGAGGGGGGATTATGGTGTGGGGTTGCTTTTCAGGAGCTGGGCTTGGCCCCTTAGTTCCAGTGAAAGGAACTCTGACTGCTTCAGCCTACCAAGACATTTTGGACAATTCCATGCTCCCAACTTTGTGGGAAAAATTTGGAGCTGGCCCCTTCCTCTTCCAACATGACTGTGCACCAGTGCACAAAGCAAGATCCATAAAGACATGGATGGCAGAGTCTGGTGTGAATGAACTTGACTGGCCTGCACAGAGTCCTGACCTCACCTTTGGGATGAACTATAGCGGAGACTGAGAGCCAGGCTTTCTCGTCCAACATCATGACCTCACAAATGTGCTTCTGGAAGAATGGTCAAAAATCCCCATAAACACACTCCTAAATCTTGTGGACAGCCTTCCTAGAAGAGTTGAAGCTGTTCTAGCTGCAAAGGGTGGACCACCGTCATATTGAACCCTATGGATTAGGAATGGGATGCCACTTCAGCTTATATGTGAGTCAAGGCAAGTGAGCGAACACTTTTGGCAATGTAGTGTGTATATATATATATATATATATATATATATATATATATATA